CTGATCACACACGGCAGTGGTGCTGATGTTACACCCTCTGTAATGGTACTGATTACATAGAGCAGTGGTGCTGATGTTAGGTTGTCCACATTGTCTTACTTCTCCCTGAGACTGGCCAGAAAAACACTACCATGACCCACTGAGTAGAGTAACCTATTGTCCCTTTGGTTTGCTCCACACCTTCAAATGTCCCTCTCTCTCTCTGTCCTCTTCTCTGTCTCCATCTCTTCCTGTTCCTGTGTCCATCTCTCCCTCTCTCTGTCTCTGCCTCTGTGTCTGTCTCTCTCTCTCTGTCTCTCTCTGTTCTTGGCGTTTTTTTGACCCCTTTGTCTGGTTATGTGTGGAGCCCTCCCTGAGTCACATTTATCAGTCATCTGAAATACCAGGCTCTGAGCTGGGTCCTTGGAAGCAACCCCTAATTTTAAGGGAATCCAAGTCCAATCAATGAAATCACACATAACATAGCACAAGTATTATAGATTATATGAAAACTGTATTAAGTTATATGTGATTAAATTAACACCCAAGCAGTCATACAGAGGAAAGAGGTAGCAACCGTGGTCTGATGACCTCAGACAAAGAACATGTAATGCCGTTAGGGTGGAAGAAAAGCCAGAAAAAGCAGAACCCAAGACACATGGTGAGGCCTGAAGATGAGAAAGAAACCCAGGAGACCAGACGTGCAAGAGGAGGAGAAACAAAGTGCACAGCTGTGCCAGGAGCTGTCAGCATGGGCTCCCAGGCACGACCCTGCAGTCCTGTCCTGCTTCTGTGCCCCTGAGCTCACACCGCAGGGCTCCGGGTGAATGAGTAAAACAGCAGCCTGCAGAGGAAGCATGGTGCCATCAGTGCGGCCACCATGGCACATAGCAGAGACCACCCTACTTCAGAAATGCAAATTGATTTTCTACCTAACATCAATTGTTGTGGCTTTACTCTCAAATATCTCATATTAATAAAGTACAAATATAAGTATCTTCTGTTTCCTTATTTGCCAAATTGTATTTTTAGGGTCTTTTACCTACAATTATTTTTATAAAACGAACTAAAAGGAGATAAGAGATCTGTAGGCAGAATGTCCCCAGAATTCACAGCCGGTCCTATCAATAAGGAATCCAAAAACACCTCAAAGCCATCACTCCAAGGACATGGTTTTAACACAGGCTCTGGCGAGCACCAGTGCATGCTGTGGGGCAGCTGTCCACTGGCTTCTACCTCCGTCCACTCTGACTCTTCCCCTGGGCATCTTTTCCAGGGTGCAGCCAACATGATTTCCTAAAAAGCAAACTCAAAACCTTGTCATTTCATTCCGACATGGAGCCCACCAGTGGCTTCCCACTTACCTGGAGATAAAACCTAAACATGGCTCTGGAGAGGGGCTCCCACCTGTCTCTTCCCTCAAGGATCCTAGGAAGCCCCCTGGTCCCTGCTGCCCCGTGATCCCTCTCCTGGGAGACTCTGTCTACAGCCTGGGAATCCCGGGGCATTCTCTCACAGGGCCACAGGGGCTGCTGCCACCTACTCTGCCCTCTATGGGCTCCAAGTCCCCATGCTATGAGGGTGTGCGTGTGTGTGTTGTTTGTTTTCTTTCATTTTATTTTTGAATCCTGGGCTCCCTGCAGAACCTGCCTATACAGGGGACTAAATTCCCCTCGCTAGTGGGATAAGGTGCGCATGAAGTGTAAGAGTCCAGACTAAAAGTAATGGCATCTACGGAAATGCTACTGGACAAAGGAATTCCAGATACAGACATGTAGCCCTTTTTAACCTTATTATTTTCAAACACAAAGCCAGCTTAAATGCATATATATGTATGAGAAATAGTGCATCACTACTTGTCAACACCATTCTTTCTAGATGCATATTTCTGTTAGGCTCTTCCTGGTGCTGGGGGCTGCTGAGGCTCACTCAGAGGCTAGGGGGCTCCTTCTGGCTCTGGCTGCACCAGTGTCCACTGAGGATGCAGGGATCAGCCCATTAATAGTAATTCCTACTATTTAGAGTAGGACTCGTGGGAGGCTGACCTTCAGACTGTGCAGTGTTAAAGAAGGGTAAGGCTCTCCCTGTTGTCTAGTTATCCCACCTGTGCTGGCCCATACCACATTGTAATCTCTGTGGTCAGATAATCATGGAAATTGCCATGGAGCAAGTCTCTAGAGCAGAGGTTCTCAACCTTCCTAATGCCTCCTAATGCCACGACCCTTACATACAGTTCCTCATGTTGTGGTGACCCCCAACCATAAAATTATTTTCGTTGCTACTTCATAACTGTAATTTTTCTACTGTTATGAATCATAATGTAAATTTCTGATATGCAGGATGTATTTTCATTGTTACAAAGGAGCTGTAACCCACAGGTTGAGAACCGCTGCTCTAGAGGGAGGTGAGCAGGACTGAAACTTCAGCCGTCCTGATTGCTCAGGTGACTTAGTCACTTGTATGTGAATCTAGAGGGGGACATGTCCGACTCCTTCCTGACCTGGATTCCATAGCCCTG